GTAATACAAATATTCAGATTTTTTGTTTTCTTTTTGTTTTACTGAGAAAGTTCATGTGCCAACTTTGTCATAAGTAGTAATCCAAACTTCAAAGGAAAACCAATAAACTTGCATTGAAAAGATATTACTTCTCGTGCTTTTGCACATTGAGCAAAATAATTATGTATGAATTTAATTTACAACGAAAAATATACAATGGAGAAAGATGGGAAAGAAGAGTTTGAAGTCTTAAAATCATCTATGTTTGAGCGAAGGTGGACTATTCCTCCCGAATAACTGCCATCAAGATAGTCATTGGCCAAAGTGGAATCTCGTGGGGGAGAGATATCGCTGGAACCCTTTTAAACCAAAATGAAAAATCTTTTGTTTTGAAGCTACAACAATCCATCTATGACCACTGAATGGGATAGATTCTTGCCAAAATCCATATGTTTGGTAAGATTGTTATTTAAAATCAAAGAGTGTGAAACCAAGAATCAAATCTTCTAGTTTCGGATGATATTTTAAGGATACTTGATTTTATAAATTTAGATTTTAAAGTGTAACAATTTACTTTGTTGCATGGAAGTTTCGTCGGAATTCCGTTTTTCACTTCAAAAATCGTAATAAAAACCTTTCGTCGGTTTTTGAAAACTCACATCCGTAACGCTCAAAAAACGTGTTGGAAGCTTGCACTTTTATTTTGGAAACTTGTGTATCCATTTAAAAAACTGAATGGGATAGATTCTTGCCAAAATCCATATGTTTGGTAATACAGCGAGATTGTTATTTAAAATCAAACAATGTGAAAGCAAGAATCAATGGAAGTAAGAAGTTTCGTCGAAATTCTGTTTTTCACTTCAAAATCGTAATTAAGTCTTTCGTCGGTTTTTGAAACTCACATCCGTAACGCTTAAAAAACTATTTTGAAAATGTGTTGGAAGCTTGCACTTTTATTTTGAAAAGTTGTGTATCCACTTAAAAAGCTAGTATGTAAGTAACATGAAGTATGATACCCGAACTAAACTAAAACATATTTTTGATAGATTTTTTTGAAAACGGATTTTGGTCAAAGTTTCCATACAATATATTATTATTTTTCAAACCGAACCACCCAAACTCGAAATATCCGAATAAACCGAATTCGCATGCCTAGAACTAAGTGTGGCTTGTTTTATGATTTAACATCCAATGGAAACATGTGCTTCGAAGAAAAGACTCGGCCTTCTTAGCAAACCCGGACCATAGTCTTTCCCTTTGTGGATTCTTCCAATCAGAGACATTCTCTTTGTCTTTGTTTGGCTTAGCTTAGCTTCGTTTTGATTTGGATTCAATTCGGTTTAACTTAGACACACCTTGGTCTAAAATCGAGATACGGTTTAGTAACAATTTTACAATTTCAAAAAGAAAATAAAAAATAGGAAATGAAATGAAAACTGTTGAATAAATAAGGTGAAAAAAAAACAAGAAAAATCTCCAGAGGGTTTTCCTTTTCCTTTCTACAGAGAGATATA